TGGGTCGCTCTGTAATGCCCACAGTATCGCCTTGCTGGGGATTCAGTGCAGGTGTTCCGTGTGGCTGGCAGGGGACTGCTTAGTGGGGCCATCACCGCTGCTTCCCGGGGTCTGATTAGCAGGGAACTGGAGCCAGGACTTGAACCCAGGGACTCTGATGTGGGGTGAGGACTTCTTAACTGACACCTTAGCTGCTAGGCCCAGTGCCTGCCCTGTCAGCATGATTTCCTAACAAAAATACAGATCAAACCCAGATTAGGACACAAGGGAACGGCTAGCGTTGTGGCTTAGTGAGTTAAGCCGTTGCGTGTGTACGACATGACTTGGTACCTCATATGGGTGTCAGTTCGTGTCTCAGCTGTTCCACTTCCTTTTTAAAAAAAAAACTTTTATTTAATAAATATAAATTTCCAAAGTACAGCTTTTGGATTACAGTGCCCCCCCCCCCATAACTTCCCTCCCACCTGAACCCTCCCATCTCCTGATCCCTCTCCCATTCCATTCACATCAAGATTCATTTTCAATTATCTTTATATACAGAAGATCAATTTAGCATATATTAAGTAAAGATTTCAACAGTTTGCATCCAAACAGAAATACAAAGTGTAAAGTACTGTTTGAGTACTAGTTATAGATTAATTCACATTGTACAACACATTAAAGACAGAGATCCTACATGGGGAGTAAGTAGACAAGGTCATAATCAAAGTGGAAGTTCTCTCCTCCCTTTAGAGAAAGGCACCTCCTACCTCCTTCTTTGATGACCTGTTTTTTCCACTGGGATCTCATTCACAGAGATCTTTCATTTAGGTTTTTTTTTCCCCCTAGCTGTTCCACTTCCAATCCAGCTCCTTGCTAATGTTGTAGGGAAAGCAGAGGAGGACGGCCCAAGTCCTTGAGCCCCTGCACCCATGCGGGAGACCTGGAAGAAGCTCTGGCTTCAGCCTGGCCCAGCCCTGGCTGTTGTGGCCATTTGAGGGGTGAACCAGCAGATAGAAGATCTCTCTCTCTCTCTCTCTGTCCCTGAAACTCTGTGTTTCAAATCTTTTTTTTTTTCTTTCTTTCTTTTTTTTTATTTTTATTTATTTATTTGAAAGGCACGGTTACAGAAAGGCAGAGCGAGAGAGAGGTCTTTTATCTGCTGGTTCACTCCCTAAATGTCCACAATAGCTGAAACTGGGCCAGGCTGAAGCCAGGAGCTTCTTCCGGGTCTCCCATGGGTGCAGGGGCCCAAGGACTTGGGCCATCTTCTACTGCTTTCCCAGGCCACAGCAGAGAGCTGGATCGGAAGTGGAGCAGCCAGGACTAGAACTGGTGCCCACATGGGATGCAGCACTGCAGGCCAGGACTTTAACCCACTGCGCCACAGCACTGGCCCCTTTTCATTCTTTTAAAAAAATTGTTTATTTATTTGAGAAGCAGAGAGAGAGAGAAAGAGAGAAGAGAGTGCTCCCATCAGCTGGTTTATTCTCCTGATGCTCAAAACAGATGGCCCCCCGCTGGGGCCATGGACTGGTGCTGGGAGCTCAGTCGTGTCCTCCCATTTGGCTGGCAGGAACCCAGCTGCTTGAACCAGTGCTGCTTCCCGAACATTTTCAGGAAGCTGGAGTTGGGAGTGCAGCTGGGACTGGGGCTGAGCACTCCTGTGTGGGATAGGGCCGTTCCAAGCAGCATCTTAACGGCTGACCCGAACACCTGCCCTCTTCTCCTCATCTTGTCCTTACAGCGAGAGCCCTTCTAGTTTGGCAGTGTGGTGGAGGGTATGGTATGATTTGTGTTTTTACATTTCTGTCATTGTGTGTATTTGACTTTTTTCAGGCAGTTGTGACCTGTGATACCTTCAAAATCTTATTAAGATTTTAGTTACAGATGCTGTCCTGGGCACTGGAGATCAGGATGAAAATCCACTTTTCTTTCCTTCTTGGTGGTAGAAATAATAGCTGGCATGTCTTCTGTTCAAGTGTCCTAAGGAGTTTTTCTTAATATGTGGTTGCATTTCTTTAAAATTGCCTAGGAAGTAAGTGCTTGTATACAGGTGATATTTGTGACAAATATTGATTTAAAAAAACTTGGAATTGTAGTTTTATGGAGAAAAACATTGGTACCTGACACAATATGTTTTTGTTTAAGATACCACATATTTATTTATTTATTAAAAATTTTATTTATTTGACAGGTAGAGTTACAGACAGTGAGAGGGAGAGACAGAGAGAAAGGTCTTTCTACCCTTGGTTCATTCCCCAAATGGCCGCAACGTCTGGTGCTGCGCCGATCTGAAGCCAGGAGCCAGGAGCCAGGAGCTTCTTCCTGTTTTCCCACACGGGCTCAGGAGCCCAAGCACTTGGGGCATCCTCCACTGCCTTCCCAGGCCATAGCAGAGAGCTGGACTGGAAGTGGAGCAGGCAGGACTTGAACTGGTGCCCATATGGGATGTGAGCTTCGCAGGCGGAGGATTAACCAAGTGAGCCATGGCACTGGCCCCAAGATACCAAATATTTAGTGAGCTATTCTGCTTGTAACTAGGCAGTTTTGTATTTCATGCTCCCTGCCGGTGGTTCTCAGCTGAGGGCCATGAACGCTGAAGGAAGCTGTTCTGTGGGGTTCAGGTGAACCCCCGGCTGCATACTGCGTAGACAGGAGGCCTTGGTCATACATGTGCTGTTGTGTTTCAGACATATGCATAGGTTTAATAGACATTTATTTTAAAGCATTTGGCATTCGTAAAAGTGATCTGTCATTGTCTTTCCTCTAAAGATATTAATGATACAATTATTGTTATGGAAACATCCAGGGACACTTTAAAACTTTCCGAAGGTCCATGCATGTGAAGCGTGGAGAACATTCTTCTCTAAAACCATGCCAACAGCGATAGGGTCAGGGGCCACTTGATACACATTTTGGAGAATTTAAGCAACCCCTGCTTTATTGCTTGATAAAAACTGCATTGTTTGTCTCTTTAGTAGATTTAGCGCATCAGGTCTCAAGGTGAAAGCAACGAACATTCAAAAAGCCCTCAAGGTTTGGCTGATTCTACCTAAGCAAGCTGTCAAAGTAATACTTTGTTTCTGATGAGATAGGTGTTTTGTTCACTGAATTAGCATCATGCTCAAAATAAGACATCATCTATAGGAACCCAACTCAGTTACTGTGAAAAGTTCACCACAAATGCATTATCTTCTAAGTAAGAAAATGAGATTTGTTGATATTTGTGACAGAAGAAATATTGAAGTTGTACCAACTGATCGGCTGACACAAGGGCATTTCTTGCCATCAAACGAGGCTTTTCCTCAGCTGTTTGGGTTGATCATTGATTTGCCTTTCCAGTTTTGGGTAAACTTGGAGCAGGTTCATGTGTTTATACCCCATGTCTTACCCTGCAGATGGAGGAGGTGTGATTAATCCAGAGATGGTGTCCTGGGCAGGAAAGAGAACACTGTGGCCCTGTGATAGCTAAGCCAGCCTTGTGCGATCCCAGGGAGCCAGTCTTCATATCCAGTGTCCTAACTGGTAAACAACTTCAGAGCTCTTTTGCCATGTTGTTCTTTGAAAGGAAAGGAATTACTATCACAGCCATATCTATGCATCTGCATCTATAGTGCTTAGAAATGGTATCATATAGGTATTGAATGTTTGTGATGATAACTGCCTGAATAAAGGTTAAAATATGCTGGAAAAATATAATCAGAAGGGAATAGAGGTAGTTTATTTTTAATGACCGAGAATGTTCCTTTTAAAAGCAGTTAAACTGGCTAGAGCTGGGGGTGGGGTAAGGGTGCTGGGGTGGTTTCAAGGCCATAGCTATTATGGTGAGTGCTGACATTTTGTTCTGACGTATGTCTGCTTGTGTATTTTAGAACCAGAAAAATTCCTTGGAAAACTGCCGTCTTCTGTTTATCTCTGTTCTATTGGTGTGTACCCAGATAAAATAGACAAATCTGGAATTGCGATTTTAACTTTTACTGTCAGGACTGTCAGTCTTTCTGACATTTTGTTTCTTTGTTTATTCGTTCAACATTTGAGTAGGAGGAGAGAAGCCACATCCGTAAGTTTTGATCATTTAGATTGATAAATTGAGAAGTTAGAATCCTTTAAATTTGACTGTGAGTGATCAGATACTGCTAAATTAAACTGTAAATTAACTAAATTAACTGAAGTAAACATTCTACTAAATTGAACTCTTCCTAGTTGTTGATTTGATACTGTGCAAGGGGACAGCTCAGGGCTTTTGAACTTTTGGAGACTGGTTTAGCAGCTTCAGTGAAGCTTGGAGTGCTTCACTCTGGAGGGTTCAGCCTTGTTCACATAATGTTGTAGAAAGTTGGCGAGGACCACGGCACCCCATGTGTTATACATGATAGCCCATAGTGCTTGGTTTGTAGAAGGGATGATATTCACCACAGAAAGTCTTTGAAACTCACATTTGCAAAATCAAGATAGTCTAAGTCTCATTTTAAGTCTGGGTCTTGAAACTAGTATAAGTGACTTAAACACCTGTTTGTTAGAACAGATAAATTAGTGTTTATTCATTTGGAGTTTTCTCTTTTATACATGCATGTGTATACATGTTTCTTTTTGTGAAAATAGGACTGCACGTCTCTCTCACTATCTATCTATACTTAAAGATTTATTTATTTGAAAGGGAGAGATAGACTTCTTCCATCTGCTTGTTCACTCACAATGGCCAGGCTGAAGCCAGGAGCCATGAGTTCTTCCCCGTCTCCTGCACAGATGCTGGGCCCCAAGGACTTGGGCCATCTTCTACTGCTCTCCCAGTCCATAGCAGAGAGCTGGATTGAAAGTGGAACAGCCGGGACTTGAACCAGCGCCCATATGGGATGCCGGCACTGCAAACGGTGGCTTAACCTATTGCACCATACCGTGACCCCTCCCTATCTGTATTTCTATGAACATTATATTTCCTGTTTTAAAGATTTGCCATCCATTTATCTCTCTCTCTCTCTCTCTTTTTTTTTTTTTTTTGCCATAGCATCTTCAGTGCTTTTGCTTTATACTAGTGGGATCACCTGGAAGTGGTTTTATGTCTCTCCTCCCCCTGTATGCCTGGATAAGTGGGAAGATGCTACTGGCATCTAGTGGTAGACAGGCCAAATATCCTGGATCCTGGATTTCATAGAACAGCTGCCCTCTAAAAAGATACGAACTTACGGGTTTCAGAGGGAGGTTGCTGTGCTTGACCAACTTTCTGTGTCCTTTACCTAAACTGATTCTAACCTGTTTTTTATGGCTCCATGCCAGAATGGCCTTTAGTATGTGAGCTGCAGGCTACACATGGGGACTTTGCTATTTCTAGCCTTCTTTATGTTTTGTTTAGAGGTATAGACAGGCAGGCAGAGTTGGATAGAACTTGGCAAGGAGGCCTGCACTGTGGCATAGTGGGCCAAGCCTTCGCCTGTAGTGCTGGCATCCCATATGGGCGCTAGTTTAAGTCCTGGCTGCTCCTCTTCTGATTCAGTTCTCTGCTATGGCCTGGGAAAGCAGTAGAAGATGCACCTGTGTGAGAGATCCGGAAGAAGCTCCTGGCTCCAGATTGGCTCAGCTCCAGCCGTAATGGCTATTTGAGGAGAGAACCAGCGGATGGAAGACCTCTCTCTCTCTCTCCCTGTCTCTGTCTGTAACTCTACCACCCAAATAAATAATAAATAAAATCTTAAATTAATAAAGAACTTGGCAAAGTGAAGGCTACAAAAATTGTCCAAAGACTCAACTTCTGTGTTTTGTTCCTGGTAAATTTCTGTCCTGGAAGAATTGGCTGTTACTATTTTCTGGTAAATACCTTTCCACTGACACATTGAAGTAAAACAAACACTAATCCCCTCCCCTGCAAACAAACCCAACAAACAAAAACAAAACACGTGGTGATCAGAGCCAGCCTTAAATGACTGTTCTTATTCTACATTTCAAGTTCATACTTGACCTTGTCTAGCGTAAGAGAAACCTAACTGCTATGACTATCTTGAGTGCATTTCCAGTGGAGAGGCTGCTAGAGTCCAAAAGAATGTTTTGAGTCTCCAGATCCTTTTACAACGCTCCATTCTTTCTGTGGGGTTAATTGAAACCTGTTATAGCCCTTTAAAAATCTTCACAGAGCCCTCAGAGCCATAGTAACGTCGGAATACTGCTTGTGTGGTGGAAGGCTTTCTAAGGGGCACCTTTGCATTGGGCCACATAGCTTCTTTTATCGACCATCATGGAAGAGAGGAACAGGAACTCCTGGATTCTTCCCTAGAGAGAACAGCTGCTCAGAGCTTAGAGTCTCATGAAGTAAGTTTCCCCTGAATAAGCAGGACGCTCTCTTGTTGGGAAAGAAGGCGTGGTAGCCTGTTCCCGTTGCTGTCTGGGGCAGGTTGGGCTTAGTCTAAGTTGGAAGTGTGTGTGAGGGTGCTCTTTCCCCCGTGAGGGTCCCTCAGGAAGTGAGCTGTAGGTCATCTGGTTGACCACCAATGATGGGGTTTCTTGTGTGACCACAGAGCAGAAAGCTTCTGGGCTATTTTTCTGGATCCAAGGGAAGGAAAAGTACCCCAACACCTTTTTTTTTTTTTTTTTTACCAGAAATACTTGTTTTTATTTATTTGAAAGGCAGAATTAGAGCGAGGAAGACAAGTCTTCCATCTGCTGGTTCACTTCCACGGGGCTGCAGTGGCCAGGGCTGGCCAGGCGGAAGCCAGGAGCTGAGAGCGCCATCTGGGTCTCAGCATGGGTAGCAGGGGCGTCTGCTGCTGCTTTCCCAGGCAGGGTCGTGGGTCTGAAGGTAGCAACTGGGCCCTGAAGCAGTTCATGGTGGAATGCTGGTGTTTCAGGTGGCAGCTTAACCTTCACATCTGGACACCAGCCCCTTCCTTTGTGTTTTTTTTTCCCCCCTTCATTTTGCCTCTTTCATTGTCTTGGTTTAGTGCTCTTCAATAAAAAGGTGGTATTGGGGCTGGCGTTGTGTAGAGGGTAAAGTTGTTGCCTGCAGTGCCTGCTTCCCATATGGGTACTGATTCAGGTTCTGGCTGCTCTGCTTCCCATCCAGCTCACTGCTATGGCCTGGGAAAGCATCAGAAGATAGCCCAAGTGCTTGGCCCCTGCTATGCTTATGTGAGACCCAGATGAAGTTCCTGGCTTCTGGCTTTGGCCTGGCCCAGCTCTGGCCATTGTGGCCATTTGGGGAGTGAACCAGTGAATGGAAGATTCTCTCTCTCTTTATCTACCTCTCTCTCTGTAACTTTCACTTTCAATAAATAAATAAATAAATCTTAAAATGTATAAAACACAATTTTGAGCTACATATATAATTTAAAAATTGTAGTGGCTCTGTTAAGAGAAAAGGAGAGACATATGGAAAATTCATTATGTCTTAAGATATAGTCATCCCTGGTGTTTTCAGGAGATTGATTTCAGAACCCCTGTGGATGCCAAAATCCACAGGTGCTCAGGGGTGTTTATCTATGAACACATATGTGTAGCCTAAGGAAAAAAATAGATCTTTGTAATTGATAAACTCAACTGTTCTTAATGAAAATACTTATAATGTGTCAAATGGTATTATAGTTGATGGCATAATTGGCCTGGACTTTATAGTGTTTGTGCCTGTGTTTATGTTAATTTTCCAGGGCCATGTATTCTTTTTTTTTTTTTTTCCCACAAATAAGAGACAGAGAGAAAGGTCTTCCTTCTGTTGGTTCACTCCCCAAATGGCCGCTACGGCCATTGCTGCGCCGATCCGAAGCCGGGAGCCAGGTGCTTCCTCCTGGTCTCCCACGTGGGTGCAGGCGCCCAAGCACTTGGGCCATCCTCCACTGCCCTCCCGGGCCACAGCAGAGAGCTGGGCTGGAAGAGGAGCAACCAGGACCCATATGGGATGCCGGCGCCGCATGCTGAGAATTAATCAAGTGAGCCATGGTGCCTGCCCTGGGACAGGTATTCTTTAAAAACAAATTATTCGAATAGGTGCAGTTCCGGCCATTGTGGCCAGTTGGGGAGTGAACCAGCAGACGAAAGACCTCTCTCCCTGCTTCTCCTCTCTCTGTGTAACTCTGACTTCCAAATAAATAAATAAATAAATCCTAAAAAAAAAATAAAAATAAAAAAATCAGGAAGTCCAGCGCTGTGTTGTAGCTGGTTAAGTTTCTGCCTTCAACATGGCCAGTTCAAGTCCTAGCTGCTGTGCTTCCGATCCAGCTCCTTGCTAATGCACCTGGGAAAGCAGCAGAAGATGGCCCAAATTCTTGTATACCTGCTGCTACCCAAGGAGGCCCACAAGAAGCTCCTGTCTTTGGACCAGCCCAGCTCCAGCCATTGCAGCCATTTAGGGAGTGAACCAGAAGATGGAAGACTTCTCTCTTTCTGCCTCTACTTCTCTCTCTGTGTAACTCTGACTTTCAAATAAATAAATCTTTCAAAAAATTATGAAGATTTATTTAATATTTAGAAGAGTTATTTGGAGGCAGAGGTAGAGAGAGCAGTCTTCCACCTTCTGGTTCACTCCCCAAATGGCTACAATGACTGGAGCAGGGCTGATCTGCCAGGAGCCAGGAGCTTCTTCTGGGTCTCCCACGTGGGTGCAGGGACCCAAGCACTTGGGCTATCTTCTACTGCTTTCTCAGACCATAGCAGAGAGCTGGATGGGAAGTAGACCAGTCGGGACTAGAAGTGGCACCCATATGGGATGCCAGCCCTTTAGGCATCAGCTTTACCCACTACGCCACAGTGCCGGCTCCTCCACTTTCATTAATGCCTTTTCAGATTGAAGATAGGATTGAGTTAGATTTATACCTCAGCAAATAAAACTTTGTGTTTTGGGACAAATACAGTTGGGTTTAGTGAGAGTGAGGGTAGTGACACCTGAATAATGAATCAATACTTTTTTATGCTTGCTTTTCACCTTCTAAATGTGCAGCAAGCCTATATTATTTTATAATCAGACCCCCTCCCCAGTTAAAGCAAAATCTAAAGGGAAACACAAAACCGGAAAAATGCAAACTACCAATAGTGTACACAAAAGTGAAGAGGTTTGAAGACCTGGATTCTAATTCTGCTTCTGTCATTAACCATCTGTGCAATTTTGGGTAACTCTGTTGCCATCTGCAAAATCAGAAATTAGCATTTTTAAGTTCTTTAAATCTTGGTCATAAATAATGCAGTTCCATGGCAGTTGTCATGAAAGGCTGTGGGGGAAGTTTTCAGAAGGAACGAATAGAGTCCAGGAGCTTCTCCTGAAATCCTTCACCGTGTGACTGTTAAATGCCCGTTTTGTGGCAAGCAGTGCCCTTGAGCTCTCAAGAATGTGGGTGTTGTGGTGTGGCTCATTCCGCCGCTGCTCGGGATGTCCACGTGCCATATCTAGAGCACCTGGTTCAAGGCTGGGCCATTCTGCTTCTGATCTAGCTTCCTGCTGATGTATACTTGAGAACGTTCTCCTCTTTTCTCTTTCCCTCTTGCCTTTTCTCTCTCTCGCTCTGTCTTTCAAATAAATAAGTAAATCTTTTTTAAAAAATGAAAAAATGTAGAAGTATCCCAAGTAGGGGTGAGATGAGTGTGGAAAAAAGGAATGATGCAAAAAGATGACAATGACTGATAGAAATAAAATGAGGTTTTATGTTTTACTATGTAATTTAGCAGGTGCTTCCCTGTATCATACCTCATTTAATCTTTCGGACACATGATGGAGAGAATATGAGGGTGTTGGTGGGACCATGTACAAGACAAATAGAATTTGTTAACAAAACCCGAGACTACTATAATAAAGCAATATTTGGATTAATCTAAGGAAAGAACGTTTGGACGGGCTCTGAGAGAATAATTAAGAAAAGATGCTTATGTTCAGATGACCTGTGTGTGATTGGCATTCTGAGATCGTGTTGTTGAATTGTAGAATTACAGGCAGGATTCTTTGATAACAGTAAGTATGTTACTGGGTTTCAAAAGCTCAAAGATCAAGTTGTGAAGCAGAAAGAACTGCGGTTACAAGTTACTTAGGTCTGAAAGCATAGGGGTAGCTCCCGGTTTTATATGTAGTCTCTCAGGTGCTTTTCAGAAGCCTTGATTCCAGTCGGCCCTTGCGTCGGCACTGGCCTCTTCGTGTGGCCACAGTCGCCGCTGTGCTTCCTTCCACTGCCTCCCTTCCAGCTCCCTGTCTTGTCCAGGGGACTGCGCTGAGCAAGCAGACCATCTGCTGGAATCACCCGCAGAACTACTCAGGAGCTCTAGAGAAAGACTGCAGGAATTTAAGAGTGGTGGGTTGAGTGGTAATTGTTCTAATTCCAGATCTGATTACCTAGCGGGATATGTCCTTTTTTTCCTCTTGTTTTTAAGTGTCTTAACTACTTGAGCAAATGTTTATTTACACTTTCAAGTAATGTGTTTAGTCAATGGCGTTCTAGAAACCCAGGCAAATATTAAAATACCAGGATACTGGGTTTGTGTTTCTCTTCTGGACAAATTACTTCCTCTGAGTCTTCCCGAGGTAGAAGCACTGCTTGTTAACAAGCCCAGAGACAGATGTGCTTTGATGGGCAGCCATATCGAAATTAACTGATTTGTTACAGAGACAGCGAGTGTCTCTCCCTGTTCGGTGCTGGTCTCCTAGGTACTGCAGGGCTGCTGTTACTGCATGGTGCGGGCCAGAGCTGGAAGGGGAGCTGGTGAGTGAGAGTGAGGGACCCTGCAGCTCCCAGGAAGGGAGGGGCCGCACCAGGCTGAGGAAGCCAGCCAGGAAAGTCTGCTGAAAGTGACATCAGGGGAGCTGCCAAGGATGGGTGGAGACAGGGCTGGAGAGGAAGGGCTGGCTGAGGTGTCCAGACCAGGGCTAGCGGCTGGTGTGGGATGTCTAAGCTGGACCACAGATAGCAGCTTGGGCTTTGTGTCTGTGGGAAAGGAGGGGCAGGGCAGTTGGGATAGGAAAGTACATGGAAGGGGCGGGAAGCAGAGGTGTGCGCTGTGTGCCTTGTGTTTGCAGCCTTCTCTTCTGGTGTGTGTGTGTGTTTATGTGAGAGAGAGAGAGAAAGATTTAGTGTACATCTCGGAGTAAGAGTGCTGGCTTGTATGTGCACATAATAGGTATTTACGTGTGTTATTTATCCCAGGGAAGCGTGTTTCTTTTGGGATTTGTTAGAAAAACTGTCATTTGTGCAAATGTTTCCACTCATGAGCACTGTGAAAAAACTTGTTTCCTGGTAGAAGTGGTGAAAGAATTGGTGTGTGGGGTGGGAGCAGAGAAGTCAGGGAGGGGGTGAATGGGTGGTAGGAAAAGAAGTACAGAGAGGATTGGGGGGCGGATCTAG